TACCTTTGAAACGGGGTGAGTTTAGAATCAAGGTTTTTGTCCTTATTTGCACACTTGTGGCCATGTACTATGCAAGCTGCCTCAGAGCCGAGGTTTATGCCTTGATCTGAAGCATGGCTGATTCGCAGTCTGCAAAACCAGCAGCCTAAAACCTTAACTGACTGGCTTATGTAATGTTTTGTCTCTGTCTGAATGCATGCAATGTTTAAATGATGGCAGAAAGGGTGTCAAGTACCCCTCTGGTGTCAGGCGGTAACACGCTTTGGAGATCAAGCAGAGATTTCTGAGTGCAAAAATACGTTTCTTTTGCAGGTGAAGCTGTGTGATTTTGGCTTTGCACGCATCATTGGTGAAAAGTCTTTCAGGCGCTCTGTGGTGGGGACTCCTGCTTATCTTGCCCCTGAAGTGCTCAGGAGTAAAGGTTACAACCGCTCCCTAGACATGTGGTCAGTTGGGGTCATTGTCTATGTGAGCCTCAGTGGTACATTCCCATTTAATGAAGATGAGGATATAAATGATCAGATTCAAAATGCAGCATTTATGTACCCACCAAATCCTTGGAAGGAAATTTCTAGTGAAGGTAAAGAAATTAATTTTCTCTATTAGAATGCTTTTATGGGAAGAAAACACAATCAAATGCTTAAACCTCAAGATTCAATCAGAAAGGAGTGTGTGAATTATTGGTAGTTTGAGTTTAGTAGACTATGCTAAAGTGGATAAATATGACCTGGCATACTTTTCCAAAAGATAAATTGTTAAATATAATGCTTTAGATAATTTTCAGGGCAGGAGACTCAATAGATTTAGCAAGAAAAATTAATTGCATGCATGAGGAGTGGAATGAATAATCTGAAACTTCCTGAACTTTACAGTGAAAGGTTCAGTCATGTGTCTATTTGCTGAATGCTGATCTCAAACCATTCTTAATCTACACTATAAGCACTGAAACAGTTCAAAATTGAATCTGGAATTTAAGTTTTGTGCATTAGCAAATATGGATTTAAATGTCAAGCTTACAAGGTTGTCCTCGAGCTCTCCAGTGCCAGCTTTGGTAATGTATACACAACTAACACTGGTAGACATGGGTGGACATGTATACAGAAGTATACAATAGTGGAGGTACCTACATAATTGTGGAACACAGGATTATGCTTAAGCTTTTTATGCACTTCTGAAAATCACTAAAATCAGTAGGGAAAAGTATTAATGAATAACATAGTAAAGCTTCTAGAGTTTCTGTCAAAACTAGGGGGAAGCTTATCCTGTACCTATTTTGTAGCCTCATTTAACATAAGCAAAACTAAATATGAAATTCAAGAGTTTGGTTAAATTTAGAAGAGTTCAGAAGGATACACATGCACATAAAATTCATTTCCACTGCACTGTGTGAATGCTGACAGAGATGATTAGTGTTTAAACAATACAATTTTTTTTTGTTCTTCTTTGTCAGCCATTGATTTAATAAACAATTTGCTTCAAGTGAAGATGAGAAAACGTTTCAGTGTTGACAAATCCCTTAGTCACCCATGGTTACAGGTAAACTCATCTGCCTTTTTCACTATGTTCATAAGGGGTAGAATAATGCTTTTTTGGCTGAAATCCTTCAGAGGCTGCTTTCATCGCATTTTGCTAACAAGCATTAATGGAGGCTTGAATATTTTGGGTTTTAGCTTTATGTGCTCCAGGATTCTGGAGCATTTATTGTCTTGTCTCTCCCGCCCTTTACTTTCTGTCTGATACCAACATGGTTTTACTCCTTTGGCTCCTCCCCTGAATGTGGGCAGTGATGAGTGCAGGGAGCCCTGTGAAATCAGCATGGAGACAACATTGTTTGTTTGGTGCTGAAGTGGACACACGGGCTGGGGTGTGCTGTCACTTATAGTTGCTTTAGAACAGATTTGTTAGGAATTGAATTTATCTGCTGCTTTGAGCTGGGTTCCTTTCACAGCAGTTTCACAATACTGCATGCACATAGCCATAATGTTAAAGGGAAAATCCAAATTGTTTTGAGAATAAACAATATTGGAATAAGTATAATTTCATATATGTCTATATATACAATTAATAATAAAGGTACATAGCCATCTTGTTACAAAAAAGTTTTCATTATTTACAACCTATACTACGAACCTATTTAATTTTGAACTACTCTTTGTGGACAGTGCTGGGGTATTTTGTGGGATGTTTGGGTTTGGTTTTCTTTTTTTGTTTTTTAATTATTTAAACAGATCTTACTTGTATCTTGTGGCTTTTTCTGCTGAAGGAGAGACAAACTGCAGAATTTATCTGTGGGAATATCGTGCTGCTGTTTCTTAAAACTGCTTCCTTAGATCTCTTTTGCTCCTTAGGATTATCAGACTTGGCTTGACCTCAGAGAATTTGAAACCCGCATTGGAGAGCGTTACATTACCCACGAGAGTGACGATGCACGCTGGAAAGAACATGCTTATGAGCACAACCTTGAGTACCCCCAGCATTTCATTATGGCTCCTAATCCAGATGACATGGAAGAAGACCCTTGATTTATTCATTATGCTAAATTGCAGCAAAGAAGGACGCTCCAGACAGAAACTGAAGATAAGTTTTGGAACAGCTGTCGCTCTTTCCAAATGCTGTACGCATAGTTCGGTGTGTAAAGCCCCAGAGGATCCTGCATGGACATGGGAATAGACTTGTTGTCTGACAAGCTTTTCTCCATCTCCAACTTTAAGTAGTTACTGGATGGTGGGATAAGCCCTGTTGGGTAACATTTCACTCAGCTGGGTGGTGGCAAAGCCACCTCTGAGGTGTAATGTGTACAGGTTGAATGGTTTCTGTGTTTTTCAAGGTTTTTTGTTTTTTTTTTTCATAGCCTGCGCAATAGGAGTTTTGTAATAGTTTTCTAATCCCTATTTACTAGGCCATAGAGGACTGTTTTCTGTTACTTAGATACTACATTTCCCATTTCCTAAACTGTGGATGTTGAAAAGAGACTCTAAAAAGAAATTGATGCAGAATATCTTGGCTAAAGCAAAACATGGTGGTTTAGTCAAATACAGCTTTGTAGATGAAGGAATAATTTGCTGCTGTTAAGACAGTTAAATATGTGCGTCTTTGCCCTAATTGAACTTTTTCCAGACACCAAAAAAACCCCAAACCCATAACTTCTTACATTCCTCTTGAAATGCTGGCTGACAATCTAAGGAGATGACAATCAAAGCTATGCTAGTCCTTTATTTTGTCTGTTAAAGCAATAAGCCACAACAGTGCGCTGCTGCGCAAGGCTGGCACGTGTCGTTGATACACACCAAAGGCATTTTGCCTTAAAACTACACAAGTAATGCACAGAGAGCACACAAGACTTGATGTAGCATATCCTTTCACTCTGGAAGACCAGCTTCTAGCAGAAGGATGTGGAAAAATAGGGAAAAATACATGCAGCTTTCTTCCATTGTTTTGAGTAATTAAATTTTTAAATTTTTTAAATATTTTTCTAATTTTTTAAGGTTCCTTGGAGTTACATCAGGAGTAGTTTGTAGCCTGCTAGTTTGTATCTTAACTCTGCTCAAAACCTAGGAGTAACAGTGGATACATCACCTGTTGCTTCTGCCAGGGCAGCTGGATTGTAGGAGAAAGGACTTGCTTTCCCACCATAACCTGCAGCCCCTCCCATCCTTTTTACTGTGTCCAGTGCTGTTTAAGCTGAATGAAGAGTCTGAAATCAACTCCTAACTCAGTTTGTTATGCAGATGCCTCAGTTGAAAAATTCTCAACCACTTGTTGGACTTGTAGCACAATAGAAGGGAATCGGCACTGTTCTTTGGAAATTACTCCCTTGGAGATCAGTTCAAGTTCATGGTATTTCAAAGAAGTCTGGGGCCATGAATGTTAAATGCAAATCAAAGAGGGTTTTTTTGGTCCTATTTTAAAAAACAGAAAGGGTGAAATCTTTACCTTTGTGTGGGATAACAGCATTGTGCTGCTGAAAGGTGCAGGATGGCTGTACATACCCCTGATGTGCCAAGCTGCTTAACTGGAGCTTGGTTGGAAATACTTAAAAATACTGATAACAGGCTCGAGCTGCAAAGTCAGTGAGAGGATTTGGGGTATCTCCTCTCTCCTACAAAGATTTTCTTCTTTGTTTGTATGTAGATAAGTTTTTTTTTCTATTGTTATTCAGGTAAGGAAACAGGTGAGCAGACTTTATAAGTTGTTAGATAAACTGAAAATGTTACGTGGTTATTTCGGGGCTGGCAGCTGCTTGTGATAGCAGTGACCTGGCAGTAAAGTCAGTGGCAATTGCAGGAGTATATGTCCACAGGTAGGTTTGGGTCTTTAACCCACCTTTTCCTTTCCTATTGCCCTTTATCTTTAACCTGCCACTGCATTTTGGAGGCTGAGCTCTGGCTTCTTAACCCTGTAAGGGGAGGGTTTCAGGACTGATTCTTCAGAGAGGCACGATTTTTCATCTTTGGAACCAGAGTAGTAACCTGTGATGTCGGTAGTCTGGCATTTGCCCAGGCTTGGCAAGGGAAGGAGTACTGTTTTTCACCTTTCACTGCTCAAGTGACCAAATTTCAGTGAAGCCATTGCTATCTTCCATCCTAACTGTAGTAATGTAGATACAGTTTGGTTTTAAACTTCAGATTTTATACTTGAGCTATCACTTCAGGTTTACCTGTGGTTTTTTTTGTTGTGTTGTTTTAAGGAAGGAAATAAAGCCAGCTCAGTCACTTGAAAAAGCACAACAGGAATGGAGGAAGGAGGGGACAACAATGAAGTAGGAGGCCTAGCTGATGTCTCTCCCCATGAAGTCTGCTCTGCTTCAAAATATTATATGACCTATTTATTCTTCAAGTTGTATTAAAATAAAAATAACGCTGTTGGCCTTTGGAGGAGATTGCCTGATCATATATGCAGACTTATGGGGCCAGACAATAGAAGCCACAAGCATCTAATAGTCAAGAAACCAAAAAAATCAGACATACATTAGGAGTAAACTTTCTTCAGAGTAGTAAAAATAGCTGGGTTTTTTATTCCCTTTTTTTTCTACCTTTACTGCAAACTTTGACAGCAGTAGGTTACAGTGTTTAATACCCTTATCCCTAGATGAATTAAGTTGCATTCATTCAAGCAATAGTGCTGGTGATGCTAGAAAAAAAGCTCATGTAAAATTTATAGCCTCAAAAGGACACTGTCAAGTACTTTTATATTTTTATACATCCCATTGTTTGTAAATATCCTCTGATAAGCTTGAAAATAAAATTTATTTCCCTATCACTCTTGTTCTTTTTATTTACATGAATTATTTCTCCTATCAGATGTTCTCAGAAGTAAACACTTGTTTGTTTGTGGATTTGACATTAGATATGCCCTGCTCTGGGAATTCTGTTAGCAGTATCTTTTTCTGTATGCATCCTGTCACCATTCTCTTTATAAAAATATTTTTAGGGCATCTTGATTTTATTCAAGTACAAAAGCTGAGTACATTTAAAGACTCCTTAGCGCATCTGTTTGTTACTGACAAGTTTTTATTCACTGGTCAGTACTTCACTCGGCTCTATCCTAAGACCCCCCCAAACACTGTTCATTCTCTGCTCTGTGTGTGCTGGTTTCTGTATGAGCGGTGTTTTATTACCACTTATACCGCTTTGAGTAGGTCAGCCAGGAGGTTTAGTGTGCTGCACTAATTTACTCTGAAATAGCACTCCCTACCAAAATGTGGCTGGGCCCTGAAGCATAGATTGGTTTAAGAACATTGCCTGAAGAAGGTACTTCATCTGCCTTCTGTTCAAAGATTATTAGTTCTTACCTTACTGCATATACGTTAATTACATTACTGCAAAACATTTAGTATGTAAAACCACAAAATGCATGACTCAATTCCTTTTACTGGGATTTGGTTTTAAAATTTAATAGGATGTTATTGAAAGCTATTGCTATCAGACGTTTTGCTGTAGTATTTGAAATTACTTCAGTAGGAGTTCATTAAATCCAGCAACAGGTGGTAAGGGAGGCTTCGACTCTGGCTTATCTTTCTTGTCAGGGTGTACAAGTCTGTGGTGAGGGAGCAGGGCAAAAAAGTTAAAGCAGTCCCCCATGTTCTCAGGATTCATCAGCATATCATAGCTGCGAAGTAACTGCTCACGAGTTGCTGTGTCACGTGAATTCTGCAAGAGCACCTGAAAAAAACAGAAAGAGAACGCAGGTTACAGCTCTTCCTGCTTTCCTGTAAATTCCCACATACCTTGCAATCCCTTTTGCATCCTTTTCACTTACACTAATCTAACAGTGCCGTAATGGTTGGTGGAACTAGTGAGATCACTGGAGGTGCTACATACGCCCATGTATGAGCTAAGTTTTGCATTAAATGCTCCTAAATTTAATATGATCAGTTTACTTCCAGGGATCCTGAGTGACTTCTGTCTAGAAGAAGCAACTTTCGGATCTCCGGTCTATGTGTTATTTTGAACGACTTCATTTTAAAATCAGATTTTTATAAAAGCTCTCTTGCTGCTTAAAAGTATTGTCTGTGGAATGGGAGAGTTTATGTACCTGTAAGCACTATCGTACCTTCAACCGGAGGTCAATGCCCATGTTTTTTAAAAACTCCCGCTGTTTTATGGGGCCTAATGTAGTTGTCCTTTCCTGTGTCATCTTTCGAAGATAGCTGAAATCAACATCTGCTGTCAGGTCTGCTGTGCCTGGAGCGCTCAGCACATCATGAAGTTTGTGATTCCGGAAACCCTGAAAAATCAAATTGGAAGATTATACTCAGCTGTAGTCCAGATGTCATAGTTGGGGCCAGCAAAAACTAAGTTGTGCGTTTGAGGGGCGAGAATAGCAAATTATACATGGAAAATTTGAGATAAATGTAGCAAGGGCCCAGATTGTCCTCTTCCATCTGAGAGAAATCCTTGTGCGTACAGATTAAATAAGAATTACTCAGTTTTATGACTGCAGCCTGATGCAGTTTTTGTTATTACGTCCACCTGAGAACTTTCTCTTACAAGAACCTAATGATCAAAGGGACAAAACAGAGTATTTTGGCTTCTTCTTTGAGGGTAAACGACATACCCGGAAGGTGTCAGTTTTGGTTCCATCATGGCCATAATCCGCAACCAGTGCAGCCCCACCATCCTTCTCTATGCGACAGGCAAGCCTCTGGATGATGACACCAGCCTCGGGACACACTTCCACGTGATCTCTCGTTTCTTCTGGCTAGTGTAGAGTTCAGAGACCAAAACACCTGTATTAGCAGGTAAGTACAGGGCAAGAGTTCTTCACGCTTGATGTCTTGGGACTGAGGTACAAGGGGGGTATTCTAGGCTACCCACAGCTTGACCTAGTTTTTGCTATCAGTCATTTTCCATTAGTGTTTTCTGAGTGCTGGACTTCAGTCACGTCTTCTGTAGTAACCTGTAGTCCAAGAAAAATTTTCCTACCACGTAAGAATACCTGCATCAGGTGAAACCTCCTTACTGTGGTACTGAAAGAATGAAAACAGCTCTTCACCTGCTCACACCCTTCAAAGAGGCCTTCCCGTGTGAAATTTTGTAGCTGGTTTTGGTCTCCAGGACTTAATTTTATAACTTTTGAGTATCCAGTGAACTTCAGGAAAAAAAAAACACTTACAGACCCTTTCCATTAAGGGTCAGCGTAGCACAGAAGCACCCAACTGCCTGCAGCAGTACCATGAGAGCCTGGCTGGGATGGTGATGTGACACCATGCAGTGCAGAACTAACCCTTGTCACTTGCTGCCGCATTTTGCTCTCTGAAGCATTTTGTGTGTTCGAGCTCTGATTCTGCAGAGCTGGGTGGATGTGTTTATTTCTGTGTTATGTTTTCAAAGCATACCAAATTCAATGCTTGTGGAAATTTTGCAGAATGGAAATAAGCTCTATTTACTTATTTGTATGTAGACTGGGAGCCCTCCTCTTGCTGTCAAGGTAACTGAGAAGCAGTTAAATATACTTGAAAGAGTCACAAAAGGTGTAAGTACGAGCTCTTGCAGGCATAAACTCACTTGGATGAAGTTTTCTGTCGCAGGGGTGCTGGATGGTGACAGGACAAACCGCAGCTGGTCAGGAGCTTCTGGATCTATATCAACCAACACTTCCCGCCAGCCTTTCTCAGTTCGCTGTTCAACAAGCCCAGAGTACTCATTTTACACTCTAATCGGTTCCACAGCATCTTGTTTATTTGACTGAACTAATATGTCAAGCATTTTCAGAAATGTTTTGAGAACACAATATGCTATTAACGCCAATTACTCATCCTATTCAATTCCAGTAATAACTGCTTTAGAAAAAGCTTGTGGTGGAGTCTCATCTGCAGAGCCAACAAATACAGGTTTAATGACACTTAGAAGGAATGAATGATGCTCTGAAGAAAAATAATGCCTCTTCTATTGACAGTGCAATATTTAACTTATCAAAATAAAATAATTCACTCTACCAGAGACTTCTCATAAACTAGTTTGTTCTGAATCATAACTAGCCTCTATTGGCTATTCTCATTGCCATTTAAATGAAAGTCCTTCAGTCTTTTGTTAATAGTGTTAGAGAAAATCATGTGGAAATTAGTAACTTCATTAATGTAATATCAGAAATAAAACCCCCAAACCCTTCAGCATTATCTCAGCAGAAAGAAATCTTTAGCTTTCTACAAGTTTTTTCATTCAAGAACAATTACTAATTTTACAGTTATCAGCTGAATTAAGTCCAAATTCAATTAGAATTATTTTATCAACAGAGATAGTACATATGTCTAATTTGGCACCTTAATTCTGTTCTTCCTGAAAGAGAAAAGGTGTTTAAGCAGATGCTCACAATTACAATAATAATCTTGCTATACCTGAAATTTATGTATTGGCAAGGCATCAAAGAACTCATGTGCTAGGTAAAAGCTGTAACCTGGGGGAAGGTAAAAAAAGAATGCATTAAATTATTTATTCTTCCGTAGCAGCTTCCAGTTGAAAATTAATTTTTAAAATGATTTTTAATGAATTAAGCTAATTAATGTGGTTGCAAAATAATTACTTCCAGCTTGGATACATCAAAGATGGTATTTATACAGCTAGTTCTAGCTTCCAGTCCATGAATTTTAGATCAGTATCTCACGAAAGGAGATTCAGGCAAAGCCAGTGAATGGTTTCCCATGAAAAGAAAACATCAGAAAATGAAACTGGATAGCTATTCCCAAATGAAGGTAGGCAGAATAGGTTGGAGTTATGAAAATGAGCCAGTTTCCTGCCTCAGACTTAATACAAGTAAGACCAAATATGTATTCTAACTACTTTTCTGTCCAGGGTGAAGGACAGCAGAGATGCCCTCTGTTATCAAAAACTGCATATGAAGGAAGGACACCATCCCTTTAATGAGGTGTTCAAGCTCCTCACCTGATGGCACATCCTGAATGTCTCTGTACCAAAAAATGGGAATTCCAGTCTTGCTAATGCCTTTCATGTAAGCAGGCTCGTCCTTGGGGCTTGGCTGCACCTTCCCTCCCGTCAGCATCCGTGCTTGGATCTCGCCAAGTTTGGGACTCACTTCTACCAGGTGAACAGAGACATCACATTTACTAAGTACAGAGGAGAGCTGGCTGAAGACCTATAAAGGCAGATCAGTTCTATTAGCCACAGTCTTGTGCAGTATACATTAAAGGCTTAAGTATTAATCTTTCATTTAGTTGGCTTTCTGTTTAATAAAACAGCCTCAGTGAAAGAGACTGCATTGCCCTCCTTCCGAAGGACGTGAAATGGGAATTTCTTCATGTATTTTAATAAAAGCTGCTACGCTTCTAGTAAAGTTAGCAAAACATAGCACATATTACATGGCTGTAAGGACAACATGAAAGGCTAATTTGGAACAGTAACAGCAGCCCCTCTAAGATCTGCAGAGAGTTTAACATCATGAGAAAAATGGTTCGGTTTTCACTGACACCGTAAACCAGCGTTCAATATCCTGCTGTTCTTTTTTCATTAATATACGTAAATAGAATAAAAGTTCTTCTGAGGTGCTAAATCCCATCAGTGATCTGTGTACGAATCAGCAGTATTTTAATTGACAGCCATGCAAGCACAACTGAACAGAAACGGTTAATTGAAAAGAAATAAGCCCCTGAAATCCCCAAAAGAACTAATACAATTTCACTCTGTGTTACTGTCCTCCCTGCTTCTTCCTATTTCCTTGCACTGAGGCCTCCATCCAAGTTACAGCTCCTAAATGGTTTCCAGTTTGGATAATGCTTTCTTACACAGAAATAATTTGTAATAGAATATTCCTGCCTTCTCCTTCTTTCAAGTGGTGTTTGGAAGACCACACACGTGTCCATGCAGTGGGCACACAATGGCCTGTGTTCTGCTTCTGAATGAGAGACCTGGTGCCTCAGAAACACACATCTATTTTATTTTGAGTCTGAGCTGCAAACCTGATTGAAGTGATTCGGTTACTAGGGAAGGTTAAACCCTGACAGCAAAACATCCTTCCTTCAGATTTCACAGCAGCCGTGGAATAAAGCCAGAAACAAAAATATGAACGGTTTTCACCTACCCGTAATATATCCTCAGTCAGGGTGCCCCTCCCTGGGCCCAGTTCCACCAGCTGGAAGGTGTTAGGTTTGCCCATGGCCATCCATTCACTGATATACCATATTCCTATTAACTGTCAGTGAGAAACAACACAAAGGGTTACAGCAGTAACTTCAGAACTTGTGGAAGGTGATACCTGCCTTTTGTCTGATAATAACTAAGATAATATGGCCACATTCTCACTCCACATTTCAAAGTTAAGAATAATAACGATACATAACATCATGCTCTTCTCTTTAAATATTAAAATTGATGATTGTTTGCTGTCAGCCCACCAGAAGCAACTCTCCATCAGTAAATGTGGGGACTCTGCTCTGGCTGAGGCAACAACTTTTATTTAAGGCTCAAATGCAGGTCACTGCCCAGGTGCCTTTGAACAACTGTTCTTCACAACAATGCATTTACCAAAGTGTTAACAAGAACAGTGTTCAGTGCATGTTCACTACTGAAAACAAAACATAAACCAGAGTCAGCCAGACCGAACTCTGGAAATGATTTCTGAGGAGAGTTTTCACAGCGGGAAACCACCATAACTCTATTTATAAACAAGTTCTATATGGTAGTGTTAATAACCACAAACTGTGTTTCAGACTACACACATGAAAGGAGTTTCACAGAAAACACCCCTTCCTCCCTCAGAGCCAATTTTGATTTTGGGAAATAATTTGAAGCTTATTATTGCTACTCAAGTATTTTGACATTGGTAAGGTACCCAACCTCCCTGCTCAAGCAAGGTCCTCCTAGAGCACATGGCACAGGACTGTGTGTCCATACACTTCTTGAATATCTCCAGTGAGGGAGACTGCACAACCTCTCTGGGTAATCTGTTCCAGTGCTCGGTCACTGCACAGTAAAGAAGTTCTTCCTGATGTTCAGGTGGAACTTCCCATGCATCAGCTTCTGCCCATTGCCTCTTGTCCTACTGCTCGGCACCACTGAGAAGAGCCTGGCTCCATTCTCTTGGCACCCTCCCTTCAGATACTTATAGACATTGATGAGTCCCCTCTGTTGTCTCTTTTTAAGGAAGAGGCTGAACAGGCCCAGGTCCCTTTCCTCTCGAGAGGGATGTTCCAGTCCCTTAATTTATCTTTGTTGCCCTCCACCGGACCCACACCGTGAGCTCCGCGTCCCTCCTGTACTGAGGAGCCCGGATCTCGACATACCACTCCAGATGCAGCCCCACCAGGACAAAGAAGAAGGCGGGATCACCCCCCTTGACCTGCTGGCAGTGGTCTTCCTGATGCATCCCAGGATAGCGCTGGCCTTGCTGGCCACCGGGGCACACTGCTGGCTCAGGGACGGCTTGTTGTCCACCAAGACGCCAGCCAGCCCCGCGGGGACAAGGTAAAACAAACAAACAAACAAACAAACAAACTCACTCAGGACACACGGAACTGCGTTACCTCTCCGAACACCTGGCTTATTTCAGGCGAGGTGATGAAGTCCCCGCTCTCGCCGATGCCGCCGCGGCGGGTGTAGTAACCCTGGGGGGACAGAGAGGGGAGCGGGGCCGGGGCCGCGGTGAGCGGCGGCGCCGGGGCACAGCCCCCATCCCCCCGGGCCGCCCCGGGCCGCTCCCGGCGCACCTGTGCGGGGTTGGTGAGCGCCTCCCGCATGTACTCGGCCACCGTCACGGGCCCGCTGGCCCGCAGCTTGCGACACAGGTGCTGCAGCAGCGCCCCGGCCCCGCCGGCCGCCGCCGCCGCCTCGCCCGCCGCTCCCGAGCACAGCCGCGCCGCCGCCGGAGCTGCGGGGAGAGCGGGGACAGAGAGGGCTCGGCGGGGCGGCGGGAGGAGCGGCGGGGAGAAGGTGCGGAGGGGCGAGAGGCGGCGCTCACCGCGGGGCCGGGCCGGGGCGCGGGGGACCCGCCGGCCGCCGGCCAGCAGCGCACGGCGCGCCAGCAGCAGCGCCATAGCGGCGGCTCCCGCTCCTCCCGCTCCTTCCTCCTCCTCCTCCTCCTCCTCCCGGGTCCCGGCCCCCCTCCCAGCAAGGACGGGGCACGGCCGGACGCGCGTCACGCGTGTGCGCGGGAGATCTTCCGGCGGGCGGCGATGGCGGCGGCGCTGTGGGACTTCGGCGTGGGGAAGCCGCGGAAAGCCGGCGGCGACAGCGGCGAGGAGGAGGGCTCGGACGATGGGGATGAGGAAGGAGCGGATGGAGATGCGGGAGGGTTCACGCTGGACGAGGTGCTGCGCCTCGGCGGCACTAAGGTAAGGGACGGGGCGGAGGGAGCGGGGACCACGTGGAGGATGGGACTCCCCATCCCGGGACGGGCCCTGGCGATGGGGTGGGGGTGGGAGGGGGGGGTCCCACGCAGATATTGGGAATGTGTTCTTTGCTCGGGGGGTGGTGAGGCACTGGGACAAGTTTGCCCGGAGAAGGTGCGGATACCCCATCCCTTGCGGTGTTCAGAAGCCAGGCTGGATGTGGCTTTGAGCAGCCCGGTCTAGTGAAAGGTGTCCCTGCCCATAGTAGGGAAATTGGAACGAAATGATCTTTAGGGTCCCTTCAAACCAAAACCGTTCTGGGGGGAGCCCTTGGGAGTCTTGGGAGACCTCGCACTGCACCGGACCGTAACAGCTGTGCACTGCTGCCCACAGCAAGATTACCTGATGCTGTGTGCCGTGGACGAGGCGGGTGAGATGGTGGATGGCGGCAAGAAGGACACGATGGATGACCTGAAGGAAGGCGAGCTGGAGGCGTTCATCGGCTCGCTGGGTCTCAGCAAGTATGCGAAAAGTTGCTTGGTGGTGGAGGGGGATGAAGATGAAGGCGGCAGCAAGGAGAAAGAGAAGCCTCCAAAGAAAGAAAAAAGCAAGAAGGAAACTAATCCGACTCCACTAGAGGGGAAAAAAGAAAAAAAACTCAAGGAAAAGACAAGCAGTGTGAAGGACACCAAGAAGAAGCAGGCTGGTGGTGATCAGGGCCAGCACCCTTCAGCAAAGAAAGAAAAATTGGAAGAAGATTTTGAATTTCATGCTAGGCAAGCAATACTGATCAAACCGGGGGGCAAGTGGTATGACCTGGAATACACCAATGAATTCTCTCCAGAGCCACAGGATCAGACACTTCTGTCTAAGTATAAGGCCCTGGCCCAAAAGCTGTATGAACATGAGAGAGACCTGTTTAAGAACAAGACAGACTACCAGAAGGGGGCCTCTTCGACATGGATGAAAACTGTTGTGTCCTCGGGTACCTTGGCTGACAGGATGGCAGCGATGACCCTTCTCATCCAGGACAGTGCTGTCCACAGTCTTCAGTTTGTTGAGAACTTGGTAAACCTCATAAAGAAAAAGGGCAGCAGGCAGCAGAGCCTCATGGCTTTGGATACTTTCAAAGAACTTCTCATTTCAGATATCTTACCAGACAATCGAAAACTGTGGTCTTTCTCTCAGCGGCCACTTAACAACATAGTGAAGATGTCGAGTGGCAACAGGGATTCCAGGGACAGACGGTTGATACTGTGGTACTTCGAGCATCACCTGAAACTGCAGATAGCAGAGTTTGTGCAGGCGTTGGAAACACTGAGCCATGATTGTCTGACAGCCTCGAAATCCCGAGCTCTGGCAGTTGCCCATGAGCTTCTCTGTAACAAGCCTGAGCAGGAGAAAGCTCTGTTGGTCCTGCTGGTGAATAAACTGGGAGACCCTCAGAACAAGATCGCCACCAAAGCCTCTTATCTTTTAGAGACGTTGCTTCACAAGCATCCGAACATGAAGGGAGTAGTGTGCAGTGAGGTGGAGAGGCTTTTGTACCGGTCAAACATCAATGTGAAAACTCAGTATTACGCCATTTGCTTTCTAAATCAGATAGTCCTCAGTCACGAAGAAAGTGCATTGGCTAACAAGCTGATAACTTTGTACTTCTGCTTTTTTCGGAACTGTATTAAGAAAAAAGATGTTGAATCCAAAATGCTCAGTGCTCTCCTTTGCGGGGTAAACAGAGCTTACCCTTATGCTGAGACTGGTGATGAGAAAGTGAAAGAGCAAATGAACACCTTGTTTAAAGTTCTGCATCTGGCAAACTTCAGTACCAGTGTCCAGGCCCTGATGCTGCTGTTTCAAGTGATGGATTCTCAGCAGACTGTGTCGGATAGGTACTATGCAGCACTGTACAAGTAAGTGGCAGGTTTGCATTTTTTTATATAAATTTCATTTCGTGAGATAGTCACCATGAATTTGAAGTTGTAGAAACATTTATTTTGATTTTAAGGTCTTTCTAATTTTGTGCTTAATTGGCTAAAAATTTCTGATGTTTTGTATCAGCTGGAATCTTTAGATGATTTAATTTGTGTAGTTAGAAAACCTCGTGTTATGAAAGAATTTTTTTTTTGTCCCAGCTGATTGTTCAGACTCTTTATAGGGTCTTTACAGGTTTCTGTTTAATTGATCAAAGGGAAGTTGCTGGTTTTTTAAAAAAAGAACTCAAGTTCCCCCAGACTGTGGAATGTATTTAAGGTCCTTACTGTGCCTGACAGCCAGGAAAAAATTGGGGTAGAAAATGAACCTACCAGTACATATGTCTGGTCTGATTGTGAAGCATGCTGATTCCTAACCATTTTCTTTCTATTTTTTTTTTAATATCTCAAATTTTGAAACTGTTTTGAGTTGAACTCAGTTTATTTATGCTTTCTTACAATTTTTTTGTTTACCGATGCATTTTTTTTTTTTTTTCTTAAATCTTCAGTGTCTCATATATAGGCAGAAATATTACACAGCTGTTGACAGTTCAGGATTGATCATAATGATTTTGAGTACTGGGGAACAAGCTGTCACTGGTCTTTTAGATGGCACTCTGAAAAATGTAGATAATTGTTGTTAATAGCAATTGTTCTGCTACCTGCATTATGACAATCAGCAATGTTTTCTCCTGTGTGTTCTACAGGAAGCTTCTAGATCCTGCTTTAGCAGCGTGCTCAAAGCCATCCATGTTTCTTAACCTTGTCTATAAATCTCTGAAGGCAGATGTAGTGTTACGGCGCGTGAAGGCCTTTGTGAAGAGGTTGCTTCAAGTCACTTGTGGACAAATGCCACCCTTCATTTGCGGAACCCTGTACCTTCTGTCTGAGCTTCTGAAAGTAAAACCAGAGTTAAGGGTCCAGTTGCAGGATCATGTGGTATAAAATGATTTCTTTGTCTCATTTCTTTTTCACCAAGAGCTGTTTATATAAGCACCTTCCCCTGACCTGTTTATTAGTAACGTAAGGTTTTGCTCAGGTGTTGTTTCTTGAAGTGGGGAGGAACATCACATTTGCGTGCTCAATTTTAAGTCCCGTATCAAGGACAAAAATCTGTATTTCTTAAACATTGGCCATCATTTATGTAGATTTTTGGAAGTAGCTTAAGAGCAGTATGTGCATTTTTCTAAAAAATCAGAATAAATCTGGAAAGGAAAAGCTGTTTGCTAACATATTTTGGTTTTTAGGAGTCAGATGATGAAGAGTGCTTTAAGGATCAAGAAGAGGCTGAAGAGGCTGAGGAAAAATTTGTGGATGCAGACAAAGAAGTAGAAGATAAAGAGAGAACGACAATGGAAAATTCTGCAAAACCAAATAATTCAAATTCAACAGCCTCGTGGGTGCATCATTTGAATATGGGAGGTAAACTAGCAAGAAAATGTAATTCATTTAATGTCTAGCATTCCATAACAGTGACGTGTTGATCAAGAGTTGTTTTAAGGTTAAGTGACTAAAACGTTATTTTAATTTTTAATTTGAAGTTTGATTGAAAGCAGTCAGAATAATTTATTTCTTAGCTCAGCAGTGATGAAGAGACTCTGAGTAGTGTATTTCACTTTATGCAATTTGCAATAAACACATAAATTATGCCTTAGCAATAAACAGACTTGGAATTTTTTTTGCTTCTGTGTTCAAACACCTTCAGAGCAATATATCCAGAGTTAGGATGTGTAGCTTCTCATTTGCTTGTCAAGTTTGCTAGAACCATTTCTCCAGCTTTGAACCTGTGCCCAATTTCACTCCTTCCTGAAGACCTTTTGGAAGAGGGCAGGGGTTTTTCAAGACCTTCCTTGGAAGCACATAGGAACTCCACCTGTGCCCTGATCACACACTGGTGAAGGGCAGCTGAATGTAGCCTTTACCTGCTGCCAAATGAATCTGTGGCCTGTCCAGCTGAGAATGATGGGCAGCATTGCTGTCATGGTGAAGTGAAAATAATACTCTTGTAAAGTTGCCTAAGAAAACTTAAGATATTTTCCTCCATCCCTCAGGCAGGAAGACTGGAACTACATATGATCCTATGCACCGAAGTCCTTTATACTGTGGTGCTGAAAGTACAAGCCTGTGGGAACTGAAGAAGGTAGGGTGTTCTTACCTTGGGGTTACTGTGTTTCTTAGGGTGGCCCTTACATTAAGAGAGGAAAATGAACTTGATTATTCTTGGAGTAGCTCTCTGGGTAACATAACAGAAAGTTTAAAGATGATACATTGCTCAGCTTTAAGCTTGTACATGTTCCTTACAGTGCTGATATTCCGGAGGAGAGAATAAGAATTTTAAGTGGAGATTTGGACAATAATGATATTTTTTGGCGTTTGGATCTTAACTTTGATCACTAAAGGTTTTTAGTGTTGCATTAAATCAGATTGTAAGTGAAAATGTATTTATTTAACGCAAACAAAAGATTAGAACTAGATGTTCTTCAGTTGTTCAAGGGCAGAGCACATCAGCCTTGCCACTGCTATGTGTATCTGCATGTTATTTGATGAGTTACAGAGCAGTCTTATGACATAGTGGTGTTGTCAAGAGTCTGATATGTCAGTGTGAGTAATAACTGCATTTATTTTTTTAAGTAGAAATAAATAAATGATTCATGTTTTTCAGCTTTCTGAACATTTTCATCCATCTGTGGCCCTATTTGCAAAAACAATTTTAGAAGTAAGTAGTGTTTAGCTTTG